TATAGAAGTCTGGGTCCTGTATTTAGAGTCTCACAAGGCTGAAAGCAAGGTATTGGCAGGGCTGCATTCCTTTCTGCAAGTTCTGGGGGTGAATCTTCCAGGCTCGCTCAGCTTGTTGGCAGAATGCAATTTCTGATGTTTGCAGGACTGAGGACCCTGTTTTTAGCCTGGCTGGCAGCCCAGGGTCATTCTTTGCTCCTGGAAGCTGCGCCAGGTACCTTCTCATGCTTTCTATGTCATCCCTGCAGCAATAGCAGGTTGAGACCCTATCACACTCCAGACCTCTTACTTCTCCTTCTGCAGCATCTGTCTGATTCCAGTTGAAGAAAGATCTCTGCTTCTAAAGATTTGTGTGATTAAGTCAGGTCTGCCTGAATAAGCCAGCATGCAGTCCCTATCTTAAGGTCTATAACTTTAATTACATCTTCAGGGTCTGTTTTGCCATGTAAAGTTACATATTCCCAGGTTTCAGGGATTAGAACATGGATAGCATGGGGACTCATTGTGCCTACTACAAAGTTTCATAAAATCAACCAAAGTTAAAAATACATATGAATGAAATGAAAAATAATATATAAATAGTATGTATAGGTAAATGAAATAAAGAAGAATATATAGGTAGTATGTATAGATTTTTAAATCAAGGAAATTATAAACAAAGGCAGCAGGACGGTAGTTACTCTTGGAGGGGAATGTTGCAAATGCAGTCTGAATTCACAAAGCGGAAAGTAAAGGCTCTAGTGATGCTCTATTTCTTAACCTGCATAGGGATATGCAAATGTGTTTTCATCGTTATTAGTCTTCTTTAAATTGTATAGTAAATACATGCATGTGTGATAAATATCACAGAAAAATTTTAATGTTTGAAAACATGCTAAATGTTTCAATATAAAACTCTCCTTATTAATAACCCGAATTATGTCTTTATTCATGAATTCATGAGTAGAGCCAGAGATGAGAAATATCAAGAAAGAGAAGACAAAATATAAGAGATGGAAGGATGGATGGAGTAAGGGAGGACAAAATCTAACATATCCATCTCACAATTTTAGGAGATGTTAAAATTGGTGCCCTCCTCTCTTGCTAGAAATCAGACAGAAAATGGTTTTCTTCAGACGAAGTTCACAGGGGAGAGAAATCCTCATGACCTGTAGCTGCTACTTTTCCCAAATGTTTGGGTGCCACAGAAATGATGTGGTCTCTTGATTCCAGACAATCAAATCTTACCTAAGATTTCAATATATTAGTGGTATCCTGAGTAACTGCTAGAAAAACAAAAAAAGATAGAGTGAACGTTCAATTACTTTGCCACTTGCCAGTGATTCTGGCAAATGCAGATGGCAAATGCTCTGTTTGGGTACTTACAGGATGATTTCAGTGATACCTCTGGAAAGTTGCCATGATCTCCCCAATCTGCTCTACCAGCTACATCCCAACAAGCCCACTATGGAAAGGTTAACATTCTTCACACCGTAGACAGCATCCACAGTGAATCCTGGTAATCCAGGCTTTTCCCAAGGGATGCATGACCTGATTAACTCTCAAACTCCTTAGTTACTTGACATGTGAACTTATTTCCTGTGCAAGTTTACATGAGTTTTTCATACACATATACTTTTTTCTAAAAAGAAGTGTCTGTGTACTATGTTAACCTATGCCTTCATCAAAAAGATTGAATTACAAACCACTCCAATGCAAATAAATCATTCCACTGCTAGCATTAAAGAAGTAATTTCCCTTTAAACCAATTACAGAAGACATTTCTTTCATCTGTGCTCAAGAATAGCCTGACAGAACTTGGAAGAACTCAGCTGTTTCCAAGGAAAACTTACCTGGATTCAATTTTCTCCCTAATTTTCTTTGTAACACATGTAAAACAGTGAGGAACTCTACTTTAAGTTCGTTGCTCAGCATGTTGGGATTGCTTAGTAATTCTGATAATCTAATGTTATCTTTAATAGACTTTGAAAGTGTAGACCTGGAAACCAGGGGTAAACGCATCTGGTAACTATAGTCTGTGAAATTCACAAAGTCATCCTGGATACTTTTAATTCTGGAAATAAAAAATAAAATACTGTTGACAAGCAACATTTTAGTAATGAGATTTACATTATCAAAAGTTTCATGTTAAATTGCATTACTAGGAAATTTCAAAGAACTTACTCTCGATGTGTTAATAAAGTGTAGACCTCTTGTATCAGTATTTCAGGTACTCCCACTTTACAATGAATTGTTCCATAGATTAGCTCTTTTGGTAATTTAAATTTTTTTCTTGCCAGGAACTTTAATAGTAGAAAGAAAATATTTTTATCATAAGCAATTCTATAAAAATTTCCAAGTACTATAAATCCACTTTAATTGCCCTTTTATTTACCTATCAGCTAATTTTTTGTGTTTGATGCTTTGCTTATTAAAAGATGCTATTCAGCAGGAAAACCAATCAGCATATATCATGCTTACGGAAGAGATTATGCTCAGTTTCATAGGTGACTCATGACATAAACAGTTGGAATTTAATAAACTTTGTGATACACGGGCGCCAGCTGCCAACTCAGTATCACACAGTCACATACATAAAAGTAGAGACCCAGGAAATTGGGATGGCACACTTTAAAACAAACAGCTTAACAATTAAAAGTGTAAATGATTGCTAACGTACCTTCTCCAACTGTGCCCAGTTATCCAACTTGACTTTCAAAGAGGTCCCATTTTCAAAGGATGATAATTTAAGTTCCCAGGGGTAATATATACAGAATATTTCTGCAATTAGGAAGCCATTTGAAAAATCTCTGATCCACAGCAGTTAGGAAATGAAATAAAGTATAATTAATTATGCAGTTTGTATTATTTTATAATTAACACCAGTCTAATATTCCATCCTAAAGTATCCTGTAAAAGCAGTGTTGTTGTATTATTGCTCTGAGGAGGACCTACCACGCAATTTTGTTACGATTATGTACGTATCAAAGGCTTTAGTGTCCTTTCGATGAACTTCGATGAACACTGTTCATCGAAAGGACACTAAAGCCTTTGATACGTACATAATCGTAACAAAATTGCGTGGTAGGTCCTCCTCAGAGCAATAATACAAAGTGTTAATTTGTATTGAATCTGCATTTCAAAAAGATCCCCAGGTGATTCATATGCACATTAAAATTTCAGAGGCATCTTTGTAAGGAATACTGAAGACAAATTAGTACACTAGTTCCCTGCTTATCTGCAGTTTCCCTTTCTGCAGTTTGTTACCTTGGGTCAACCACAGTCAGAAAATATTAAATAGAAAATTCAAGAAATAGTTTGTAACTTTTAAACTGTACTCTGTTTGGTGCAGTGTGATGTAATCTCCCTGCCTGCTCTGTGTTGCCTAGGATGTGAATCCTCCCTTTGTCCAGAGTCCTCACGCTGTGGACATCAGTCACCTTTTAATTATCAGGTCAACTGTACAGTATGGCACATTGTGTGGAAGTCACCATAATTTTGCTTCATAATGTCCCCAAAGTGCAAGAGTAGTGATGCTGGTGATTCAGATATGCCAAAGAGAAACCATGAAGTTCTTCCTTAAGGTGAAAAGATGGAAGTTCTTGACTTAATAGAAAATGGTAAGCATGGTTAGAATGATAAGAATGAATCTTGTATCCCTGAAATGTGAAGAAAAAGACATTCTTGATAGTTTTGCCATCACACCTCAAACTATAAAACTTTCAGCCACCGTGTGTGGTAAGTACTTAGTTAAGATTTTTTAAAAGGCATGAAATTTGTGGATGGAAGACATAAACAGAAATGTGTTCTGACAGAGGGTTCTGTAGTATCGCCGGTTTCAGGCATCCATTGGGGATCTTGGAACCTAAGCCTCTCTGATAAGGAGCGGCTACTTGAAACCAGAGCTCTGCAAAACATTCATTGCCTTAATTTTTATAGAATTTAGTTTACATTCCCAGAGCAAATATTAACTGCCAGTTAGGTACAAAGTGCCAACTTTAAAAACTTGTTGATAACTCTCAAACTAGATGCCATCTCTGACAGAGGGTAAAATGATCCTTACGATTTTTCTTTTTTTTTTTTTGAGACAGAGTCTTGTTCTGCCACCCAGGCTGGAGTGCAGCAGCACAATCTCCGCTCACTGCAACCTCCACCTCCTGGTTCAAGCGATTCTCCTGCATCAGCCTCCCGTGTAGCTGGGATTATAGGTACCCGCCACCACCGCCTGCTAACTTTTGTAGTTTTACTAGACACAGGGTTTCACCCCGTTCACCAGGCTGGTATTGAACTCCTGACTTCAGGTGATCCACCTGCTTCGGCCTCCCAAAGTGCTGGGATTGCAGGCGTGAGTAACCGCGCCTGGCCATCAGCACCAGTATTAATGCCCAATGTCACTAAAGAAAAAGCTTTGCAGCGAGTGAGTTCTCATGAGATCTGGTTGTTAGAAAGAAAAAGCTTTGACTATCTTAGTATTTTAGTAGTCACCAAAGCATTCTATAATAGTTTAATGATTACTTGATTAATTGAATAAACAAAGTGCTTCGTGATACTTTGTTAAAGTCTTACTCCCCAGTAGTGTTTTCGTGTGTATGCGTGGGTGGGGGATCTGGATTTGAAACATAAGCCTGGCCAGGGTAGGCAACCTGAGGCCTGGCAGGCAGCAGAAAGAAGGCCGGGCGCCCACTGAGGGGGCCTAGGCCTAGTTCAGCACCTGTTGATGTTCCTGGGGAAGAAGCTGAGATCCAGACCCTGGAGCCAACGCAGAACGGCAGGAGACAGGTGGGAGCTCTTCGGGATATGCGGATAGACCAGACACTTCTTAGGCCTCCCTGGGGTGGGAGCTGCTAGCTGAGGCAAAAGTGACGTTGACTTGGCTAGAGCTGCAGCCTGCGATGTCAAATACCCTTTTCCCTGGCCGCAGGCAGCCATGCCGCTTTCTGGGTTGCTAGGCAACAGCAGACGGCAGGGCGGAGTCTTCCAGCGCGTGGGGCGGAGTCTTCCAGCACGCGGGGCGGAGTCTTCCAGCGCGCGGGGGCGGAGTCTTCCAGCGCGCGGGGCAGCCTCGAGGCGCAGGGCGGAGTCTTATGGGACGAGACCTCAGCGCCTGCGCAAGCGCTGCCGCCGCCCGGGCTTCCACTTGACCCCGATAGCTCCGAGTTCCGTATTGAGGAACGCGAAGCTGTGGTCCTAGAGGTATGGCCGCGGTCTGGGGAATCTAAACCTTGAGCGGAGCTTTCAATCTCGGATTTAGTTGGCCTCGCTATTAACCGATTTAGAGCTTCCTTTTCTTTGACGTCATTGTTCATAAGTTTTGTACTTTAAATATTGTTGGTTTCTGCCAGCCACAGGCCTGTTTTCAATCCTCCAGTTTGAGCAATGGTTTGAGAAAACTCCAGAGGCCAAGGATAGTTGTTGGGAATTGGAAGAGATGGGGGAAAATAACATTTAAAATGGAAATGAATGTCCACAAAATTTAGCATATTTCCTTAATTACTGCATTATTTGTAAACATTAATATTTGAAAACGGTTTATAGGTTAGATTTTCACCCTGAACCAAAATGCTCTACTAGGCCTAATTCATTAATGCAACAGATACGTATTGAGTCTGTATTATGTACCAGGCACCCATCTAGTCACTTGGCATCAGTGAATACAATGAAAACGACTGCAAAGTTGGCATAGGCAATTATAAATATTTATGTAAACACAGTTCTTAAAATCCTTTAAACGTTTTACAGCCTTTTTTTTTTTTTTTTTTTTTTTTCCTGGTTTGCCCTGGCTTCAGATTTACATGCCTGTAATCCCAGCACTTTGGGTGGTGGAGGCCGGAGGGTTGCTTGTGCTCAGGAGTTCAAGACCAGACTGGGCAACACAAGGTGGAGACTCTTTTTTTGTTTGTTTGTTTGTTTGTTTGTTTGAGACGGAGTTTCACTCTTGTTACCCAGGCATCGTAGTGCAATGGCGCGATCTCGGCTCACCGTTCCTCCGCCTCCTGGGTTCAGGCAATTCTCCTGCCTCAGCCTCCTGAGTAGCTGCGATTACAGGCACGCGCCACCATGCCCAACTAATTTTTTGTATTCTTAGTAGAGATGGGGTTTCACCATGTTGACCAGGATGGTCCCGATCTGTTGACCTTGTGATCCACCCGCCTCGGCCTCCCAAAGTGCTGGGATTACAGGCTTGAGCCACCGCGCCCGGCCCGACTCTTTTGCTACAAAAAATTTAAAAATATAAATAGCCGGGTGTGGTGGTGCACTCCTGTAGTCCCAAGCACTCCAGATGCTGAAATGGGAGGATCACTTGAGCTCAGGAGCTTGAGGCTGCAGAGAGCCACGTGACAAAGTGAGGCCCTGTGGATGCATACATATGGTAGAATATGGGCTGGATCTTGATAATGACTATATAATATTTTTAATGTTTATTCATGTATATGTTTATTAATAAAGTAAACCATTGTGTTCTGTGTATGGTTAAGAAAGAAAACCAAAACTGAAAGTATATTCATGTTTTCTGTTAAGCCAAAAAAGTTTACAGAATGAATAAATCATTCATTAAAATTCTGTAAACTTTTTTTGAGGAACTCTCCTGGGGTATGTGCTAGATCTTCATTATCCAATATGGTAACCACTAGCCACACGTGGCCATTTAAACTTAAATAAATTCAGTTCCACTAGCTACATTTCACCTGCTCAATAGCCATATGTGATTAGTGGCTGCCATGTTGGATAGCACAGACACTGCGCTTTCCATCACAACAGGAATTTCTATTGAACAGTTCTGTACACCAGATCATTTATAAGAGATCCAGAGATATAAATATCAGTGAAAAGATTACATATGCTGAAAAGCTCCGTCATGGTAAAAATACATTAGCACCAGAAAAGAAGCAAACATTTTGGCCTGTCGGAGTGTAAGAAGTCCTCTCAAAAGAGATGATCATTAATTTGGATCTTATAAGGTGGTATTTTAAGCTGGTTAACATGAAAGCTTTGAATAGCTGGTTCTACTGTGAAAGGAAATTAAATATTGGGACTTCCCCCCACCCCCAAATCACTAAGCTATAGGGAAAAGTCAAGCTGGGAACTGCTTAGGGCAAACCTGTCTTCTATTCTATTCAAAGGCATCCCTCTGCTCAGTGAGATTAATGCGTACCTGATCGCCTACTTAGGTTTTGGTTTGCTTAGAATAAAAACAGATTTAAAAAAATTTAGGCCCAGTGTGGTGGCTCACATCTGTAATCCCAACACTTTGGGAGGCCAAGCAAAGACAAATTACTAATAATTTGTCTTTAGTAAAAATGGGAAAATGGAGAGAAAAAAAAAATGTTTCAAAAAACAATAGTACACCTGTTGTTAGATTCTAGTCTTACCTAATGTTGTTCAATTTTCTATGGTTTGGATTGAATTCTAATTTTTCTTGGCTACAAATCTTCGAAATAATTTTTTCAGTATTTTCCCTTTCTTTTCCCCTCATTTTTCCTAATTTGAAGTCACTGAAAAGCAAGCTATGCTTTTGTAAAGCCCCGTGAATTGAAGCTAGACAATTTCAACTTCAGCAGAAAAATAACAGCAACCTGTTTACATACATAAGCCACTTTCATACCTGCCTAGTGATTTATGGACTTCAGAGTAATGTGGCTATATCAATTTTCCAGGATTGCTCTTTTGTTTGTTCTTGTTTTTCTCCCCCTAGTTTGACTTCATAGGATGTGACACTTTACAACCTGCTAAAATGAGCTTTCCTAATAACTTGGGACCCACCAGTCTAGGAGTAAACCATCCTAGCCATGAGAGACCAGGTGAACCCTGAGACCTGAGACCCATTTTCTTCTAAAATACTTTCTCCAAAGATTGTTTAAAGAAAGAGGGGGGAATATGAAAGGGAAATAATCTTGGGCCTCCCCAAATAACTAAGCTAAAAGGAAAAGTCAAGCTGGGAACTGCTTAGGGCAAACCTGCCTCTTATTCTATTCAGAGTCGCCCCTCTGCTCACTGAGATAAATGCATATCTGATTGCTCCCTTTGGAAAGGCTAATCAAAAACTCAAAAGAATGGAACAATTTGTATCTTATCTACCTATGAGCTGGAAGCCCCCTCCCTGCTTTGAGTTATCCTTTTTTTCCCCTGGACCAAACCAATGTTCATCTTACACGTGTTGATTGACGTCTCACGTATTCTAAAATGTATAAAACCAAACTGCTCTGACTACCTTGGGCACATGTCAGGACCTCCTGAGGCTGTCATGGGTGCTCATCCTCAACCTTGTCAAAATAAACTTTCTAAATCAGCTGAGACCTGTCTCAGAGTTTCTGGGTTCACACTACCTTTTATTAGCTATGTGACTTTGGGTAAGTTGTTTAACATTTTTATTTATAAAATATGGAAATAAATAGGATACACCACAGAGTTGTAGAGATTAAATAAGTGAACTATGTAAAGAGCCTAAAACAATGTGCAGCACAAAGTGCTCAGTAAGCATAGATGATTGCTTGAAAGGTGATCTTGGAAATGTATTTGATGATAAAGGGGCAATCTCACACAGAATAACTAATGGAAGCAACTGCATAGAAATGTGAGAGTTTTTTTTGTTTTTTTTAATTAGTTTTACGAAACAGACTCAGTAGGGTTAGAGAAAGTGTTCAGGCATTATCAACCGAAGAGACAGTCTCAACGAAAGATTTGGATGATAATGGCTAGAGAAGTAGGTTAGGGCTGTAGATTGGGGTTTAGTTGTTTTCATTTTTGAGACAGTTCTGCTGTTGCCCATTCCCAGGCAGAAGTACAGTGGCGTGCTCAGGGCTCACTGCAGCCTCGACCTCCTCGACTCAAGTGAACCTCCCGCCTCAGCCTCCCAAGTAGCTGGGACTACAGGTCCAAGCCACATGATTAGCTAATTTTAAATTTTTTTGTAGAGACAGGTCTCAAACTTGTGGGCTCAGGCAATCTTCCAGCCTCAGCCTTCCAAAGTGCAGCAATTACAGCCATGAGCCACCATGCCCGGCTAGATTGGGACTTAATTGTAAACCGTTTTGCTAAGGAGTTAGAAGTCTTCCTGCAATCAATGTGCCAATTGTTAAGCAAATACATCCGTTTTAGAAACACTCCCTTCTGTGTTCCCAGTTCTGTGACAGTGGAGTTGGAACATTGCTTCAATTTCTCCTTTGCTGGGTGTATGGTAAATTCTGCCAATAGAGGGAGCAAGAGAGCGGCCGGGATTTGCTGTTTCTCTGCTTGCTGTTCAAGTCCCTGTGTTACCATGGCAACAAAGCTTCACCTGGCAGGGGCAGTTGGTGCCAGGCGCCAGTTGTTTGTTTAACACTCCTGAAGCAAGTTTCGTCATACTCTTTCCGAGTTTTTAGCAACCACCAAGAAGTGCCCCTCCCGTGAGATCCAGTTTTACTCTTGGACCGCTCATCTGAGCTCCTGAAGTATTGGCACCAGCTGTGTACATCCCCTCCCCAGAAGTCTAAGTCTTGAGGCCTTAAGCCTCCAACTTCTAAATTCTTATAACCTCAACTTCTTCCCTGGGGGTGGTAATTGCTTCTTGAAGAGTCTATCTCTTAATTTGATGGGCCTATTTTAGTTTTTCGGCTCTTCAGTACAACCAGTTCCTTACACAGTTGGTGCGGGTTTAAGCAACAGGGTTTGGAACTGCACGGGTCCACTGATATGTGGATTTTCTCCGGCCTCTGCCAACCCCGAGACAGCAGGACCAATCCCTCCTTTTCCTCCTGCCTACTCAGTGTGAAGATGAGGATGTAGACCTTTCTGATGATCCACTTCCACTGAAAGAATAGTTAATATATTTTCTTTATGATTTTCTCAATAACATTTTCTTTTCTCTAGCTTACTTTATTGTAAGAGTACAGTAGATAATACATATCACACAAAATATACGTTGATATTTATGTTATTGGTAAGACTTCCAGTCAACCGTAGGCTATTAATAATTATGTTTTCAGGGAGTCAACAGTTGTACTTGGGTTTTCTACCATGCAGGACGTTGGTGCCCCTAATATTCATGTTGCTCAAGGATCAGCTGTTAAAGTTCTTGCTGTTGCATCTGTTAAATGCATGGAATTACTTCTGTTTTCCTGATTGGATGCTGAATGTCATATTGCTTGGTACCTGGAGTGAGGTTTTCCTCTACCACTAGCTCACCACTAGCATCTTTCTAGGGTATCTAAGGAAATTCCTTCGTCCTGTTCATGAGTGAGTGTGGATTACTATAAACTTAATCAGGAGGTAACTCCAATTACAGCTGCTTTTCCATGTGAAGTGTCTTTTTTTTTAGATGGAGTCTCACTCTGTCACCCAGGCTGCTGGAGTGCAGTGGCATGATCTCGGCTCACTGCAACCTCCACCTTCCAGGTTCAAGCAATTCTGCCTCAGCCTCCTGAGCAGCTGGGACCACAGGTGTGTGTGACCACACCTGGATAATTTTTGTATTTTTCCATCAATCTTAAACATTTGAGAAAGTTCACTTAGGTCTTTAAGAGAAAGGGCTAACCTTAAAATAACCTAAATTATAAATGATAATAATAAGAGAGAAACTGAAGTTAAAAAGTGGGAATAATCCAAGGGAAAGGATCATTTTTAACTTGTTTTATAGTTGGAGCACCAGTCAGTTGAGCTCAGTTCTGTGATGGAACAATGAAAGCTTTCTGCTCTGGAGGACTTTCTTTTCTACTGCGTATCTATTGACTTTCTCAGAAACACCAAATATATGCTGTGATTATAAAAATAACAGACGTTACCTTTTTAATCCAAAAAATTGTTTCAGGGCCGCGCGCGGAGGCTCAAGCCTGTAATCCCAGCACTTTGGGAGGCCGAGGCAGGTGGATCACGAGGTCAAGAGATCGAGACCATCATGGTCAACGTGGTGAAACCCCGTCTCTACTAAAAATACAAAAAATTAGCTGGGCACGGTGGTGCGTGCCTGTAATCCCAGCTACTCAGGAGGCTGAGGCAGAAGAATTGCCTGAACCCAGGAGGCGGAGGTTGCGGTGAGCCGAGATCGCGCCATTGCACTCCAGCCTGGGTAACAAGAGCAAAACTCCGCCTCAAAAAAAAAAAAAAAAAAAAGAAGTCATTCCTATAAATAGCTGATAAACTTTAATATCCTAGAGAGTCTTATTAGGAGAAAAGAGAGCAGAAAAAATCTACCAACATCAAGAATGGAAAAGAAGGCCAGGCGTGGAGGCCGAGGCGGGTGTATCACGAGGTCAACAGATGGAGACCATCCTGGTCAACATGGTGAAACCCCGTCTCTACTAAAAATACAAAAAATTAGCTGGGCATGGTGGCACGTGCCTGTAATCCCAGCTACTCAGGAGGCTGAGGCAGGAGAATTGCCTGAACCCAGGAGGCGGAGGTTGCGGTGAGCCGAGATCGCGCCATTGCACTCCAGCCTGGGTAACAAGAGCGAAACTCCGTCTCAAAAAAAAAAAAGGAATTGTTTCAACAATGTCTATCTATGGTAACTGTTTTACTATACTTCTTAAATCTTACTTCACATAGTAACTATTTTTTTGTTTTTTTACTTTGTGAAATTTTGTCCTTGAACTTTAGTGTGCATATATGTATTTGTATTTATATATATGTATGTATAAAATATGTATATATGTATAATATGTGTATTAAATATCACATATATGTATTATCACATATATTATATGTATTATATGTCACATATATATAAAATATGTTTTGGATTAGACGGCCTTTGAGGTATCTATTTTCTAATCTGTGCTGCTCTATCTTAATGCTTGTAATTCAGCAATTTGGAAACGGGTGGTGAAAAAAATTAGTGCAATTGAGTCATATTCTCCATGACCTTTCATTATAAAACATAATGAGACAAACACAAAGCATTTTACTCCAATGAATAATCATCACACTTTAATATAATAACAAACATACGATATATTTAAGTTAGAACACTACTTCGATAAGACAATCATACTCAAGCTAAGATACAAGGTACAGATATACTGAAATTGTAAAGTATCCATTTTCATGTTTGCTGTTTACTTCTCTTACTGGACCAAGACCAATAAGATAGATGTGTTGCATTACTCTTACAATCTAAGACTTCACCTCTAGCTCAGGGAAAATACTGGTGGAAACCTGTTTTACCAAAAAGCAGCTTTAGTATCTGTTTAACCAGGTTATTCTGTAATAAGAACTCCATTTTAATGTACATTATCCATTACGAATGTGTTAGACTGAGATATTCTATGCAACAGACATTTAAAGGGCCATATCCACATAGAAAACAGTGTTTAATGCATATGCCACAGCTTTATTTCTATGTTTGAAAATCTCAACAAACGATTTAAATCTCACGTGATGTTTTATTTGCCTGCCAAAATGCAAGCTTAGTGATCTGGGCTCATATACAATCTCTGGAAGTTAGCCAAGAAGTCACAAGAAAATAAGCCCAGGGCTGTTGAAAATAGTGGTCCAAATATTTACTTTATCGAAATTTAATATATCTGTATAACTCACCAAAAGCTGTTTTTGTTTTATGCAGAGTTGTATGTTAATTATCTTATTTGTAAAATCATAATAGACCCTGAATTACAAAAAAGGCATAACATTTTATTATGTTTTCTATTGCACTCAAGTATAGTTAAAGCTGAAGTGAATAAACGTAGTATTTACCCTTGCAGAGGACTAGCTCTGTAGTGTCTTTTTTTATACAATATTGTCTGTTGCTATTACTTGCAAATACAGTATACTGTAAACCCTTGTTTTGTGTAAAAAGAATTAGAAACAGTGCAATTAAGTTCACTATATACATTTTTTAAGATCTCCAAATGTATTAAATGGCACCCACTCTTTAAAAGCTCCACGATTTATCATCTATCACTGATAGACATTTGGGTTGGTTCCAAGTTTTTGCTATTGTGGGGGCTAGGAGAGGAATAGCAGGGGGTAGGGGACTAGGGGAGGGATAGCATTATAAGAAATACCTAATGTACATGATGGGGTGATGAATGCAGCAAACCACCATGGCACGTGTATACCTAGGTAACAAACCTGCACATGTACCCCAGAACTTAAAGTATAATTTAAAAAAAGAAAATTATTTACCCCCCACGAAAAAAGCTCCACAATTTGAGTTTTTTTATCTTGCATTATTTTAATATCTGCAGAATGATTTGATGATCCTCAGAATATGACCCAGGGCCTCTCCGTCAATTAGATATATGGTTCATTTTCTTAAGTCCAAGTATCACCAACTATTGACAATTTCTGAAATGGAAGAAGGCTAGAATAATATATATGTAAAAGCACTGATAAGAAATGATCAGGAGCTACTCCTGAAAAGGAGGAGGTCTTAAAATAGCCTTACCAGGTGTGTAATGTTCTAAATATCTCAGGGTGAGAGGGCAGTATTGACCTTTCATTTTATCACTTTTCTGTAACACGTCCACATACTATGGAGAAAAGAAGTGACTTGTGAGTCTTTTGAGGGGGGTAAGGGCGTAGGCAATTTATCTTTATGAAGTGGTCATTTTAATGACCAGTGGACATCATTCAACATAGTGGATTTCCTGAATGAGCATCATGTTGGTTTCAGAAAGCATATTAGATGCTCTTTGCTAAGATACTCATATTTTATGTCAACATCAGTAACAAGTTAGCCAATTATAATAGCAAAAATTAAAAAGTTAACCCATTAATTGAAGAATATAGCCCTTTTAAAATATAATATGAATAACTTTACTAAGAGTTTTCTTTCCAATCTGAAAGAAAGCATAAGATACTTTTTTATCTAAGTCAACAAGAGGATATATTGAAATAACAAAAAATAGATATTATAAATATGTGATAAACCAAAGACAGTATACATTATAAAACAGTAGTACTAACTAATACACTTAAAATTAAAATTGATATTTTACTGCTTCCCTGGGTGATCTCATACTCACTTTTACCCTGTCTTTAGCATATTTTAATATGAAATATTCCTTAAGCAAAAGAAATAAAAATTTTGATTTTCAAGGTATTTAGAATTATTTCAAGGTATTTAGAATTATTTTACTGTTTTATCGATACTGTAAGAAATTCTTCAGTAATGTTGGCAGCTGGAGCTGCGGGATAAGGTGCAATCTTGGACTTCCTATGTAGTGTCTGATGCAGAGTCGGCAGAGTTGGCAAAGAGAGCTTGGGGTAGCTACAGAAAGACGTGAAAGTACTTGTTAATTAAAATAGAAATTAATTTTTTATGTTGCAAGATACATAAAACAAAATCATAAAAACTACAATATTTTGTGTTATGACCACTATACTAGGGAAATTTATGTAAACAGTTATATTGCTTTTATTCATGAGATCTTATTATAATTGAGATATATTCCATATACGTTCTTTAAAGCATTATAATCCTCAGGCTTAAGAAATAATTGTTGCATTTAAAGCCTCAGAAACGGTCTGCTTTTTGAAGGAGATATGAATCAAAAGTCCTGAGAAGTGTTACTCACTAAAAGAAGAAATTTTAAAATTAGGTTTCATATTTATACTAAAAGAAATATTATACTCCCCGGACCAGGCTTAAGAAATCCTATTTTAGGACAAAAGTCTTAAATGTAAAAATGTTTCCTAATTTCATTTCTATAATATGTTATAGAATGTTCATGCCCTTATAAAATGGGGCAAGTTCCAAAAATAAATCAGCAGATACTATAGCAGAACTACATATAATGCATTATCAAAACAAATAGAATGTATTTAACCAAAGGAATATCATAGTTTAGGTAAGATAAAAAGAGAAAGTTAAAATCATCATTTCTTTTTTTATTAAAAACTTACCTACGTTCACAAATAATGTTCAACATTTTATGCCATTGTTACTTTACATGCCAACAAAAAGTCTCTCACTTTCATCTTAGGGAAATATATTTTTGTTTTTGTAAGTTTCCACATGTACTTTTCTTACCTTCATGTTGAAGCAGTATTCTTTCCACCATACTGCTGGACGTAGCTACATCTACAGGTCGCAGAAGCTCTGTATTTTTGGCATTGATATCTGCTCCAAATTCTAGCAGTAAGTTTACAATTTCTGTACTGGATTGTTGAGCAGCCGCATGTAATGGAGTATCCCAATACTTGCCTTTCTGTACATCAGCACCTACATGTAATAGGGAGTGAAGATAAACATAAATAAAAATTATTAAGTAAGTCAGTTGCCTCAGTGGGGGTAGAAAAGGAAAGGCAATAGAGGAAGGTTACCAAGGGGACTTCAACTCTATTTGTTATGAGTTATTTCTTTATATATATATTATATGTATATATATGTGTGTGTGTGTCTACAGTAAATACTGTAAATATATGTAAATATGAGGCATATGTGTGTATGTGGATACTGTGCATATATATTCTGTATATATATATCTGCTATATATATACATATATACTATATATATATACATATATACTATATATACACATATATACACATATATACTATATATACTACATATATATACATATATACACAGTATCCACATACACACATATGCCTCATATTTACATATACATATATTTAAACTGGGTACATATGAATAGGAGAGATGCATACATTTGTTGTTACTTTTTGATACTTTTCTGTGTGCTTAAGCTATCATAATAAAATTCTTTTTCTTTTAAATGATCCCAAAAGTAATCATATTAACGAATATTATAAAGAAAATGCAATTAAGTTCATTTCATATTTATCTTCATCATGGGTGATAGCTGTTAGAATTATTGAAGAGCTTATTGCCATTATTCTTTTCATTTATTTAAGGCAACAAAGCTCTTTGGTTTTCTTGGAAAACTCATAAATGTGTGAGCTATTTAGCTAAAATATATATAGATTTTCCTGCCACTTTTCACTCATGTAGTTTAAGTCAATAAGTATATAAATATATTGAGCCTCTTAAATCTAAAGGAACATTGATGAGATCTGCATGAAATGAAACTTTAAAAAAATGCTTATGTTAAAATACAGCCTACATGTTTAATTACCTATTGCATATTACTTGATCTCAGTGCGAAGCGTGGCACATGGTGCTTATTCAATGTGTTTGCAATAAATAAATGCTGTTTAGTACTGTTAAAAATAACCATCCCATTTTCTGGTAAATAAACAGTTACAACACCAGCAATATCTACCAATAAGAATGCATAAGTTCTCTTCAACTCTGTTTTCCGATACTATCTGTAAAACTAATGATGTCTTTAAGAGGCAGTACAGTTTCAGTGTCCCTTTATGGCCCTTCTGCTCCTTTCAAATTTCAATAAATGTAATAATTTTCAACATTTTCTAAACAAATAGAAAATGTTTAGGAAAAAGTTATATTCTGTAGTAAAATTTCCATAGAGAAAGCATAAACATTGTTGGTTATGTCAATTTTATGGAAGAAAAGGGCCTGTAAATAACAATCAATCAACAATTACTTTTCAGTAACAGTTCTTTTCCATATTTATTTATTTGTTTATTTTAAGATGGAATCTCACTGTGCCACCCAGGCTGGAGAACAGTGGCACACTCTCGGCTCACTGTCACCTCTGCCTGCTGGGTTTAAGTAATTCTCCTGCCTCAGCCTCCCAAGTAGCTGAGACTACAGGTGTCTGCCACCACACCTGACTAATTTTTGTATTATTAGTAGATACGGGGTTTCACTATGTTGGCCAAGCTGGTCTCAAACTCTTGACCTCAGGTGATGTACTTGCATTGGCCTTCCAAAGTGCTGGGATTACAGCCCCATAGTTTTTAAAGCCCAGTACAAAACATTTGGTGGAAAGAATAATATTCCTAGCAAACCAAAGAAATACTCTAAAACAGCAGCGTTCAATCTTTTGGCTTCCCTTGGCCACAATGGAAGAAGAATTGTCTTGGGCCACACATACAATATACTAACACTCATGATAGCTGAAGAGGTAAAAAAATAAAATCCAAAAAAGACCTTATAATATTTTAAGACAGTTTATGAATTTGCATTGGGAGGCATTCAAAGACATTCTGGGCTGCATGTGGTCCATGGGCCGCGGGTTGGACAAGCTTGCTATAAAGCATAAATTCTATTGGTCATATGAAAAATTACAGGAGAACATAGCCAGAAAATAACAATCTGTCAATGACTAGTAGCAGAACTCACGTCTAAGACTGACTAGGTATAATGAGAATGAAATAGTAGATGTAGACCCTGCTTGCAAGAAGTTTCTCTGTTAGCTAAGAGAATATGAGTAGTGCATAAAGGGTTTACTAAAAATGAAGATCAGTATGTATCAGGGATCAAATGACTCTCATAAACAATAAATAGCATAGAACTTAATTTGTTCATTTTATGTATCTTCTAACCTGTCACAGGAGAGGATAAGAGAGAAGAACCATGCCAGAGAAAAGAGGCAATAATCCAAATCCTAAAGGGACTCCCAGTCCTGTGGTGAGTGGGACCACTATGGTCTCAATAGGTTAGAAATATTTTTCAGAGTCTGGGTGCGGTGGCTCACACCTGTAATCCCAGCACTTTGGGAGGCTGCAGTGGGTAGGATCACAAGGTCAGGAGTTTAAGACCAGCCTGATCAATGGTAAATCCCCATCTCTACTAAAAATACAAAAAAAAAAAATTAGCTGGGCGAGGTGGTGCATGTCTGTAGTCCCAGCTACTCCAGAGGCTAAGGCAAGAGAATCACTTGATCCTGAGAGGCGTGAAGGTTGCAGTGAGCCAAGATCGCACCACTGCATTCCAGCCTGGGTGACAGAGTGAGACTCCATCTCAAAAAAGAAAAAAAATGTTTTTCAGGGGACTAAAGCTAACTTACTTGAAACAAACCTTGAGGAATTGATTTGTTTCAAGTAAGTGGAAAAGGGCAGTGAGTCTTTTCAAGTAAGCAGGACAGAAAGTGCAATGTCTAGAAAAGTGCATGAGTTTTTAAAGCTAGCAGAAGATGAGGCTGTCCAAGCAGTTACTATCCTGAAAATTTCTTTAGATGGATTTGTTCCAAGATATATACATTCTTGGCAACATCACATTCAGGCTTGAGGCTCCTAATTTTGTGACCTAAAAAAGTAGAGCTTTCAGACTCCATCACATACCCAAATGTCTGCTAATGCAGTGCATGTGGAATATAGAGATTATGCATCTATCTGTGAGCTAGAAAGGCAACTTAATCAAGAATGAGGTTCTTTTTTATTGGTTCTCTAATCATGTGTGAAAATGCTTACAATAAGAACTTTGTTTTTAGCAATGAGATTTAATTTGTAAGAAGCTCATTTAGAGAAATAAATAACTGCTTGTGTGTATGGACAGAACAAAAGATGTTTTAAAGGAAAATACCAGCATAGAGAAGCTTCCAGATGCAATGGAATTGCTGTGACATACAAGCTACATAGAGAGGAGTTCCCAAATGAGGAATGTCTTGGTCAACATCTATGCCCCAGGATATCAGGATGTCAAGACATTCATGGTGACCTGCCAACACAAAGGAGAGTTTAACTTAATGCCCATCCACCCCACACACATCACCCCAGGCTTCCCCTGAAAGATAAACAGCACTGCAGGTTACTAAAGAAACGTTCTCCCCTTGTCACTTAATCCCAGGGCTAAGTTACCTTTACTGGCAGCCTCATGCGTGGGGGACGGAAGACATGACTCCAGCTGGGCTTTGGCGCCATACTCCAGAAGCAGCTCTGCACAGCTCGGACTGCCTTGGGAGCATGCGTTGAATAATGGAGTCACGCCATCTATTGTGATTGCATTTACCTAAACCAAACCAAAATATCCACAAATAAGACTCATAAGTCATACATGATTAACCGATTTAGTTCTGCATTTTCAAAAGGTATGTGGTCTGCTAACAGAAATACTTGGGAAAATGTGCACTGTAAATATGACAGTGTATACTTTGCTCTTACGCATTAATAAGAAAAGCTGTAAAACAGAGAGAAATGTGATGTGGCAGATAATTCATTGGAATGGGCATACAACTAGTGGAAATCATGAAAAAAAACGCATGCTCAAACAGCAAGTAAGATCTAGTTCAATGATTAGATCCTTTTCCGTAAGAATAAAAATGAAGAAAGAAGTGGAATGATGATAAAGTTGTAATGAAGCCACATTGCTAGCTTAAAGTGGTAAAATTGGTAATTCTATTTCCGAGACTTTATTTAAGGAAAATCATCCAAAAGATGGGCAAACGTTACAGACCTAAAGATGTTCACCGATTGCTATTTAGAGTCATGAAAGCAAAAAATAACCTAAAGAATAGTGTATATTATTACGCAGCATGCTACCCATTTATGCAATGATTGGAAATCCTTTTTAGAGGGCAATAAGAAGGCGAAGGAATTTAAGAGCTTTATTTTTATTCTGCTGTTTTTGAAAACTACCGAGAATCAAGGAAAGAAAAGTAAAATGAGAACTTTGTCGGGTTCTCTCCATCAGTAGACGGTCAACTGTTAACGTTCTGAAAGGGTACTTACATTAGCCCCTGCTTCCAGCAGAGTTCTGGCACACGCCACGTGATCTCCAAGGCAGGCTTCGTGCAGTGGGGTGACATGGTCTAAGGTTACTGCATTGACATTATAACCCTAAATATGACATAATTTTGAAAGGTGAGCAGAGAGTTATATATTTAAAACATCATCTCTATTGATGTCCCTAGAGAGTGATATATTTAGAGATCAAAGACTCTCAGGCAAACCGGTTTCCAGTTTAGCAGGATATGCCGTTCAAATGCCATAGGGTCAATCCGTTGTCCAGATTCCTTAGCCCTATTATTGTGGCATCATCATGTCTAAACCTAATAATGCCTTAAATATTATGTTCAATAGATTCTGGCATGTTTTCATTAAATGTTGCTTTCTTAATATATTTTGTCCTTATTTTTGTGCTTTGCTTTGCAGAACTAAACACTCTTTTCTTTTGAGTTTTATAGAACTAAAGACTCATTTTGATTGAGGCTATAAAATGATAGGTCAGCCAAGATTTGGAGAAAAATACTCTATACTAAACAGTTTTGTGAACTTTTGTCACTAAATAGGTATGATAAAGTTGTATGCTGGTGGTTAAGAACTCTGAATGTAAAATCAATTAGACGGGTTTGAAGCATGGCTCCATCATGAATAGTCTGCCTCTAAATTTTAAGACTATCATGAGAATTAAATGAGGGCTGGGCACGGTGGTGCACGCCTGAACTCCCAGCACTTGGGTAGGCCAGGATGGGCAGGTCACCTGAGGTCAGGAGTTTGAGACCAGCCTGACCAACATGGAGAAACCTTGTCTCTACTATAAATACAAAATTAGCCAGGCATGGTGGTGCATGCCTGTAATCCCAGCGACACAGGAGGCTGAGGCAGAATTGCTTAAACCCAGGAGGCAGAGGTTGCAGTGAGCTGAGATCGTGCCATTGCACTCCAGCCTAGGCTACAAAAGCGAAACTCCATCTCAAAAAAAGAAAAAGGAAAAGAAAATTAAATGAGATGATCCACGTAAAGCTATTATTATTACAATGCCCAGCATATGAAAACATTATTTTTTGTAATTATTTAATCAAAACTAAGCAAACACTTATTCACTGTATTCCAATCAAACTCAAAATATCGCACTAAAATAACTACATACTATTAGGATATGAGATTGTTTACCTTCTGGATATCTTTTGTATTTCCTTGTCTATTGAGTCATACTAAGCACTGTAATAGGAAGAACTTCAAAGCCAAATCCTCATAACATATTACAGATCACCAAAATCTATAATACCAATATAGACGTGAAGAATTTTTAAATGAAGGCAAGAAAAACAGATAATCCTTTCAGACACTTTCAAGTTGGCCAGCCAGCAGTCAGACGTCTGAACACACTCGAGGGGACCAGATGACGGAAGCACCTGAGAAGGCCGAGATGCCCTTTCACATCAGGCTCTTGGGATAGCCTCTCGTGATTCTTGGCTGAACTGTCAGTGGATTAGGGACACACACTGAAACATATCCTAAGACTGCTCTTCAAAGAACTACATGGCCCTGTCTGAGGAATTGTCCTTTAGAAATTGTTGACCCCTTTTCAGTGTTTATTTTCCTCCCATCGAATGATGAACAAAATAGTCACATGGTTATCACAGAACTGGAAGTCCCTAAAAAAGTGTGTCATCTCCATTCTACACATGAGAATAGGAAGCTCAGGTAGGTTGTGGTTCACCTTAAGTGCCAGCCTATGATCCAGGTGTTGAGACCCAGGCAGTGCTGTTTAAACAGGGCAACACGACCTTTCTTTCTTCGTAGCCATCTGAGAATGTTTCTCTTTGAGACTGGGAAACACTAGCGCATGACGTCCAGATCTGGGTGTGCATTTTATTTTAGAGATAGAGTCTTGCTCTGTCACCCAGACTGGAATGCAGTGGTGTGAACTTCGCTCATTGCAACTCTTGGGTTCAATTGATTCTCCTGCCTCAGACTACTGAGTAGCTGGAACTATAGGCATGAGCCACCATGCCTGGCTAATTTTTGCATTTTTAGTAGAGAAGAGGTTTCACCATGCTGGCCAGGCTGGTCTCGAACTCTTGACCTCAGGTGATCTGCCTGCCTTGGCCTCCCGAAGTGCTGGGGTTACAGGCACGAGCCACCATGCTCAGCCTGGATGTGCATTTGAATTACATCAGAAGCTTAAAAAAAAAGTCCAAGCTTTCTGTTTCAATAAGGCTTTGTGTTTTTCATTTTTCCTCTGGTGAATCTGATGAGCAGGCAAATATAGAAATGATTGTCCTGTAGTCTCGTTAGGCAATTTCCCAGAGCATATTACAGATCACCATAATGTAAAAAAAGATTGCGTTGGCATCTGCTCTGATGACTTCTTTTCGGATATTTTATTACTGAACTAAGTCTGTAATTAGCTGCACATATTATACAGAGTTAAGCATATTTAGAAAGCTTAATCAATAATATATACTCCCGATCATTGCTTCCTTAAATGTCTATCTATGAACAAATACACTTTCTGAGAAATTTGAAAAACTAAGACATAAGATCACATCAAAATATTTATAAAAGAATTTTCAAAGACAAATCAGAAGTTATTGCCTTCTCTGACATGAGTTAAAAGGGCGGAAGTAAAATTTAAGTAATTGTATTATATTTGGATTGATTTGTTTTGATCATGTTCTATGTGCATGGAAAGGGGGCATATTTTAAACTCTGTGTAATATATTACCTGTGATAATAATGTTCTCAGAGCAAGAAGGCGACCTTGACTTGCTGCTTCATGTAGTGGTGATCGATCTGCCCAGGAACCTGTCAAAAAAAGTAGAAAACAAAAATCTATGCATCAAAGTGAATGCTAGTAGAAATAATAAATTCCTGAGTCACATAAATTTTTCACACTCAGTGTTCAACAGGGTGACCCAGATATTTATACTGTATATTAGGAAATTTGACTCTTATTTCAGGAACCAGAGAGGCAGTTCCCAACATGAGCCACAGTGCATGCTCTGGGATTTACCCGTCCCAGACTTACTATACCATTTTTATTTTTTACTTTTGTTACCCAGGCTGGGGTGCAGTGGTGCAATCTCAGCTCACTACAATCTTGGTATCCCAGGTTAAGCAATTATCCCGCCTCAGCCTCGCAAGTAGCTGGACCACAGGCATGCACCACTATGCCCAGATAATTTTTGTAATTTTAGTAGAGACAGGGTTTCACCATGTTGGTCAGGCTGGTCTTGAACTCCTGACCTCAAGTGATCCGCCTGCCTTGGCCTCCAAAGTGCTGGAATTAGAGACGTGAGCCACCACACACCTAGCTTATTGTGCCTTTTGAATTACCTGCACTCACTATTACCCCTAGTGACCCACTCGCAACATTCTTCTTCCTGACTTTATGCTTGGCTGGCATAGAGGTCTTAGTTCCAGTGGGAGGAAAGAGCTTCCACTCAGAGACATGACAATGATTCCATTGCCATGGAAGTTGAGAATGAGCTCCTCCTGCCTCTGAGTCAACAGGTTAAGAAGGGAGTTGCGGTGCTGACTGGCATGACAGAGCAAGACTACCATGGGGAAACTGGACTCCTGCCCCACAATGGAGCTAAGGAAGAGTATGTCCAGAGTACAGAACATCCTTGAGAGAATCTCTTAGTATATTATCACGCCCTGTGAGTAAGATCCAAGGAAAACCACAACACCCAATCCAGGCAGGATGATGAATGGCACAGCAGGAACGAGGGTTTGGGTCATCTTGCCAGGTAAAGAACTATGGCCGGCTGAGGTGCCTGCTGGAGGCAAAGGGGTTAGTTACATAATGGGTGGTAGAAGAAGGTAGTTATAGACACCAGCTATGATCACGTGGCCAGTGGCAGAAATTATAATTGTCATGAGTAGTTTCTATTTTGTTCAGGATATGTGGGCATATATACATATATTAAGGAAATTTATCTCATTTTCATTCCCTTCTTATTCCTTTATAGGTAACATAAGATACAGTGGCTTTTTAAATCATGAGATATCAGGGAAAGAGTAAACACCATCCGAGGTCTTTACCTCTTCTTTTGGAGAAGGGACTCGTGCATTTTCTGTTATGGGCAGGATAGAAATATTACATCTGGCCGAACCATTACCTTGTGGTTGCGTTTGTTTATTTTTATTTTTCATTTTTTGAGATGGAGTCTTGCTCTTTGTTGCCCAGGCTGGAGTGAAATGGTGCAATCTTGGCTCACCGCAACCTCTGCTTCCCAGATTCAAGTGATTCTCCTGCCTCGGCCTCCTGAGTAGCTGGGATTACAGGCATGCACCACCACACCCTGCTAATTTTGTAGTTTTAGTAGAGATGGGGTTTCTCCATGTTGGTCAGGCTAGTCTTGAACTCCCGACCTCAGGTGATCCCCGAGTCTTGGCCTCCCAAAGTGCTGGGATTACAGGCATGAGCCACTGTGCCCGGCCTGTTGTTGCATTAATTTTGGCGATCAAGTATGACTTAAGGAGATGCATATAGGTGCCACGTTGACAAGGGGTGGATTAGTGATGGTAAATTTCAGGTGTCAACTTGACTGAATTAAAGAACACCTAGAGAAAGGGTAAAGCATTGCTTACGAGTGTGTCTGTGAGGGTGTTTCCAGAGGAGACTGTCTTGTGAGTAGGTGGCTGAGTGGAGCTCACAAGAGCTGCTTGCAGTAAGGTTGGGCACCATCATATGGCTGAGGGCCTGGAGAGAACAAAAAACTCTCCTGGAGTTGGGACACTCTCCTACTCCTGCCCTTGGACCTCCTGCCCAGGACTTCAGTGGCTCTCTGGGTTCTCAGGCCTATGGCCTCTGACTGAGAATGACATCGGCTTTCCTGGTTCTGAGCCTTTTGTACTTGGACTGAGCAACACTGCCACATCCCAGGGTCTCCAGCTTTCAGACAGCCTGTCGTGGGACTTCACCGCCTCCATAATCATGTGACCCAATTCCCCTAATACATCACCTCTCATATGTCTATGCCTTTCTCTGTCTGTCTATGTATCTAGGTATCTATCTATCTTTTTCTATTTCTCACCTATTGGTTCTGTCTCTCTGGAGAATCCTGACTAATACAACTCCCAGATAAGAGGGGAATTATGGTCACTAGATCAGCCACAGAAAGTTTTGTTACATGGTTTTTCACCTTGAACCCCTCCTCTCAATTTTTTTACGTCCTTTTAGCAGGAATATCAGCTTGAATGTCTACCTCTCCACTCTCCCAGCTCCTTCTGCTATTTCCTGTGGTCCCCCTACCCAAGCTTGCCCGGGCTCTGAGGTGTAGGGGTTGCAACATGTTGCCAAGCAGGGCAAGTAGCTGAGCCCTGTGTCTGAAGTGAGGAGTGGGCACTACCTCTGCACCCAAACTCTCCTGAAGTGACTGTCAATGGCGTCCTAGTGGTTAAGGATTCTATTGCTGGTTGCTATAAAATGGGTATCACCGTTGTGATAATGAAAGTATCACTTACCGCTGAGGCCACTAAGTGTCTTCCCTGCAGTAAAGTCACTCTGCATAAACCAAAAGGCCAAGCAAAGAAGGCAGTGCATGTTCAGGGCAGTCAGGGCCAGGAGCATCCGCTCTGGAGTTAGACCCCATGACTCTCTAAATCATTACTTTTTTTTTTTTTTTTTTTTTGAGACAGAGTTTCGTTCTTGTTGCCCAGGCTAGAGTGCAATGACAAGATCTTGGTTGACCGCAACCTCTGCCTCCCGGGTTCAAGCGATACTCCTGCCTCAGCCTCCCGAGTAGCTGGGATTACAGGCATGTGCCACCATGCCTGACTAATTTTGTATTTTTAGTAGACAGGTTTCTCCATGTTGGTCAGGTTGGTCTCAAACTCCCGACCTCAGGTTATCCGCCCACCGTGGCCTTCCAAAGTGCTGGGATTACAGGCGTGAGCCACCACGCCCAGCCAATCATTATATTTTTTCTAGATTTCATTTCCTCTACTTGAAGATGGAAATAATAATTGCATATATCTCAGGAGATATGATAAACTAAATTAGACGATGTACGTTGTGCTTAGACTAGTATATGCATATAGTAAACACTATTCAACATTAACTGTTGTTACCATTACTTGTAAATCAACAGAGAGAAGAGAGACTGCCTGTTTTCCCTCAGGATTTGTATTCCTGAGAAAATTCTGTAATATTACTAGATACAACAGGATTGATGATTGGTAAATGACTTCTGCCCTCTGTACCAGTAACAATCTTAAGACAGAAAAACCAACTTATTTAATGATAACCTGATTACCTAAATAAAAACAGAAAGTGCTTACACAGTCCTCACCATATGCCAGGTCCTGCCCTGATTGCTGCGCATAAATTCACTTGCTTTAACCCTCAGGCTGATCCTCTGAGGTGGGCACTATTATTATCTCTGTTTTCCAGGTAAGGAAACTGAGGCACACAGAAGTTAAATAACTTGCCTAAGGTCACACAGCTAGAAAGGGGTGGACATAAAATTCAAACCGCAGCCTCCTCCCTGCAGTGACAATACTTTTCACTTGTTAAGAGATGGTAATCCTATCTGTCAGTGATTTCATTACTATATGTTTCCTTCCAACACCCCTCTGAAATAAAACCCTTCAGTCTGAACAGAAGTTTTATTTCACTGTATTCTTAGCAAAAGTAGCCTCTTGCTTGACAAGATAAAGTGTACTGTAACAAGATACTATAGCAATAGTGTAAGAAAGTTGGAATCCATGCTAAATTGTAAGTAAATAACCCCAATTAGGGAGGCAAAGGCTAACTCTGATTCTAAGTTTCAGCAAGATTTTGTTAATTTAGTGGGATGAAAATTAAAAGTACTTTTCTTATATTGGGTTCTGTTTCTTAGCTAGGAAATTTCTATTGGTACACAGTCTTTATTAATCATCTCTTACTATTTTAAAATATAGTCTGTTTCATTCTGATTCCATTTCAGCAAATTTCTTCTGCTCCCTGATTTTAAGAGAAAAAAGAAAATAATAAGTCTTATCATGTATTTATAAGAAGAAAAGCAATTCCTTGAGTATGTTCCAAAAATGATACAACTCCCAGCCAGTGTCTTGCACTGGTGTTTATCTTGAATTACAGAATAATGATAATTGAGGTTTATAATTAAAGACATTACAACTCCCAAAAGAATAATGTATACTTTCTCAATAGATAGATATAAGTTTCCATCTAGGGTTATTTCTTGCTTATCTAGAAAAATTAGTAAGCCAGACATTCATTTGCAACAAGTTACTGTGATTAGCTTTTGTGTATTACTTCTTTCTACTGTGTGACTGTTCTATTATATATTCAAGGCAGAATTGCAATAAGGCACAACAATAAATATTTTTTGTTAGGACAAAATTTGGTGGCAAAGTAATGCTTTATAGGAAATTGGAACATTATGTTCTCATTAGGTAAAATGCAAGCTTATCATCACAAATAAGATTTCTTTGGGGAAAGCATTTTGCCAGTTCCAGCTTCTAAGATGAAATCTGATGCTTTAAAAATCATAAGCATCTGTTTGCATCATCGCTAAACAACATGATTGCAGAGTGAAATTCTGCAGAACTTTAGAACATATATCAATTTTTTATGAACACTTAAATATTTATAAAAATTACAATATAACTTTACCAATAGATTGCATATGTGAAGCCACTTTGTTCAGCTTAATCAGCAAAGCAATAATAAATTCATAACAATTTAAGTAATCAATGCCTAAATGTGTTTACATATAAATAATCACTTATAATATTTATAATGATCAGTTTCCCTCTTGTATAATAGTATATTTCATTATCCTTAATTTATCTCT